CAGGTATTTTCCCACGTCATTATAGTTGTGCTTTTAAAGCTGTAGCAACGTTTCGGCAGAATCTCATCTGCCATCATCAGGCTGGCAGATGATGGCAGATGAGATTCTGCCGAAACGTTGCTACAACTTTAAAAGCACAACTATAATGACGTGGGAAAATACCCGTACAAAGCTGAATACCATACATGTAAGTACCCGCGAAAACTTAAACACTGAGTGGTTCTATTGCCATGGACACAGCCAAGAAACAGGACCTTAACACAAACAGGTTCCTAGGTCCACAAGTCTTCATGGCCTTATGAAAGCCCAGCAGGATCATCCTAATCTCTAAAGGGAGAAATGCAAAACTCTTTGATTTTCTGTACTGACATCTAAGCAGTGAATATGCATTTTCCCAATTCTATTACTTATCAAAGAGAGCTTTGTTCTAGGGTTGATCTCCATAGTCTTGTTTGCACTGCTATAAAATTGTTACATGTTGCTAAACATACCTTAATATCTGTGGACTGAAGGCAGGTGATAAGCAGTGGTACAAATGGATCCATCATTTCTAAAACATGCTCATCTGAAGAGTTTATTTTAGATCTCTTCAAACTCATGTGCAGCAGCTGTACATAATAAAGAAATATTAGGAGGCCTTTAATCTAAAATGGCAAGTGATTTATTCAGACACTATGGTGATCTTGGCTGTTATTTAACATAGTAGGATATTAGTGATACTTTAGAAATGCAGCACATTAATAGGGGAGATTGGAAGCATGAAAAAGATTGAAGGCACAAAAGAAATGGATGGAGAGAAATATATTCCTTCTCTTCAATCTTTCAAGTCTGTTTAACTATAATGCTGCTCAGGAACTTTCCTCTAAAACAGCTTTGTATTCTGTATTTATTACAAAATAACAAATCTTTATAGTTGGCTCAGTTAAAGCAGAATGGCAAGACTTACAGATCCCATTCTCTTAGCGACTTCCAATGCTCTCATTTCAATGTTGTTGTCTAATAATATAGAGCTCAGTGATTAAGATGCCGAGCTTATCAGCTGGAAAGCCAGCAGCCCAGGTTTGAGACCCAAGCTCCATGTGGTGGGATGAGCTCCCATCCTTGCCCCAGCTCCTGCCAATCTAGCAGTTTGAAAGCATACAAATTGAAGTACATAAACAGGTTCCACTTTGGTGGGAAGGTAACAGCGTTTCTTGACATCATGCTGGCCACATGACTGCAGAAATATCTTACGAGTGCTGGCTCAATGGCCTTGAAATGGAGATGAGCACACACACAAACACACAAGCTGGCAATAAATAGCAGAGTAAAATCTTCAGGGTCTCCCATGCCCATAATATATACATTCAAATAGAACAACAAGTGGTGATTTACAATTATCCTAGAAAGAAAAACTCAAAATGATCCTTCCATCCAGTGAAGGATGGAAAGGGAACGCAGTGTTACACACTTTGGCAGTTCTCTCAAAACTGAAGAGATCCTGTCCCTTCAACTCTTTATTCTGATCATCTCTAACATACAGGAAGAAATTAAGAGCTATGAAATTATTTCAACAATTTTAAAGTGGATTGTGATGTTTCATCTGGTTTGTTTATATAGTGTTCCTGCGCCTGAAACATAAAGGGTTGGATTCACTTCGTTGGAGAGGCTACATGTTTTAAAACAGAAAAAAAAACAAACCCAATAAAAGAGAGAATGAGGGGAGATGCCTGGCACTTCTTACCCGGAGCCCTGACTCAACCAAGACATGCATGTTAGTCTTGCTGCTCACGGGTGCTTTTTGACCTCCTCGAATGGGAGTCGGTGGCAGAAGGAGGCAGCTCTCTGGTTGCAAACGAGGATCTGGAGGAACTGCCGTTTTCATTCTAAAAAGTTGTTGAAGAAGAAAGCAAAACGAGAATGTTGGTCTCAGCAGACAGTTCTCCTAATCAAAGTAAAGGCACTTACTTGGCAGAGAAAGGAGAGGAAACCAAAATCAGACATTTAGAATGAACCGACAGACTTCAAAGTTATGCCCAGTTATTTAATGAAGCCATTCCTTCTTCAGAGTTTGGAAAAGATCAGTCCTATAATACCAATCTCAAAGAAGGAATCAAATGCTGGTTAAAATAAATCAAGGTTTCACTAGAAACAACAGAACGGCAAGTAAACAAATGGGAAGATCCAAAATGGTAGGCATTGAAGAAACACAGAACCAGAGGTTACGTACTTCTTTGCATTTATAATAATGATAATTGTTGCTTACAATTGTGTGTGCTGCTGTGCATTTATAGGACTTAGGCGTTCAGGCATAGATTTTCTATTAGAATTCTGTATGCAGTAATAACATTTATTGGCAAGCAAATAAAAGGGAGAATCAAACCAGATTTAGCTTTCTATACTTTTATTCTTCCTAAACTTACTTTGCTTTTTCTGTTAGCAATGGTAGATTTTCACTAATCAAACCATGGCTGAGTAGAAGAACAGTCTCTGCAGTCATTGCCTTGTTCACTATCAATCCAGACACAATTCGTCGTAAAGTTTCATGCACCTTTCGAGATAGTTTTAGGCTGGTTGTATTCTCCAAAACCTGCAGGACAACATTACAGCACACCAATCAGCTTACAAAGCAAATTCTGGAACAGAAATCTTTTTAGAATGACACTTTCAACACTCACATAACTCCCCACTTTCTGCAGCAGAAGCTTTTTATGTTCTGAAACCGAAGTCTCCAACCTTGGCAACTTTAAGCCTGGTGGACTTCAACTCCCAGAATTCCCCAGCCAGCAAAGCAAACCTGGCTGGGGAATTCTGGGAGTTGAAGTCCTCCAGGCTTAAAATTGCCAAGGTTGGGGATCCCTGTTCTGAAAGGATGGATCATTTTGCTCTTCCCCATGCCTCTCCATCAAAGGAGATTTCTAAAAGTGCTCCACTACATCACTGAGAAGCCTCCCTCTATTTTTCTCCCCATCTTTTATTCATCATACTGTTCCTACTGTAGATGTGCATTGATTATGTGCTTGTCCTCTTTCTACAAGAGAGATCAGCATCAACCAGCTGCCAGCCAAACTCTCCCATATCAATAAAAATCTCCTATATTGTACAGTTCTTCAGCCTCTGGAACAATACTGACTGCATTCATTATTTATATATAAAACAAATATGCCACTTTTCATTAAAGCACAGATATACATTCACCCTAACCCCACCATGAGCCCTAGCAGGACTAATTAGCAAAAATGACATTTTAATGACCAGGGATTATATTTGGGACCACAGCAATGATACAAAGTGATACAGGTGGGTCAGGTTTTACAGTATTTTCTTCTCTGAAGCCATTGTTAAGCTTGTTTTAGCCATTATGCTTCTTGTATCAAAATGGTGAAAAGTTTTTGAAAGAATGATCAAAGAGGATCCTGGAATTGAGGGTGAAGGAAAAGACATTACATGCAGCTCTGGGGCTACAATTTACTCACTCTGCCCAGGAATGTCACTCACTACGGTAGAAAAATAGTTACTGTATTCAGACACTTCCTAGTATGAAGTCCCAATGTATACTGTCTTGTACATATCCTATCTTCATACCTCTTTTAATGGAAGAATAAGCTTAATCACTTGGTTTTTTCCTACATATTTGGCAAGGATTTCATAAGAATCATAACTTTTGCTTCTACGAGCTTCCATAACTTTGGAAACAATGCCTTTTACTTCTTTTTCTTCAGCAATTTCCCCAAACAATTCACGGTTGAAAATCTTTACAAGAGATGCAAGAGAAACAAGAATAGTTTAGCAATAGATAATAATGAAATAGTTATAGTTGCTTCTATAGTTTTCAGTATAGCTTTCCAAACAGCAGTCTCTTTAGTTCACTGATGCACAAATTTTGTGGCACCATAAAGATTAACCACAAAAGTCTATGCTGTTATACCAGGGAGAGGAAGAAGTCCTAAGTAATACATCAGAAGTACAGCACCATAAACACAGCCTTCTTCCGCTTAAAAAAAATAAAATCCAATAAGCACCAGCAAATCATAATGCTTTGTCCCTTCAGAGTGAATATCCCTTCAGAGTGAATATCTTTTTATGTATCACATATAAACATGGACATTATGAAATTATTATTATTATATATATATATATACCATATACCAGAAGAAAACACACACCAACCGCTACCTCAACGCCCAATCCCACCACCACCCAGCACAGATAAACTCCGTGGCTAAAACACTAATTACCAGAACCAAACGCCTGGCAGACAAGACACACATTAAGACTGAACTATGCACCCTGACTAAAGTACTGACAGCCAACGGCTTCCACAAAAGCAAAATCACCAGCTTGATCCACAAAAACAACCTGAAACATAATAGAGACCCAGAAGATGAACAGACCTATGGAACAGCTGTCCTGCCCTACATAAGAGGTACTACAGACAAAATTAGTAAGGTACTACACAGACATCACATCAGGACTGCCTTCAAAACAGACAGAAAAATAGCAGCCATCCTTAGCAACCCCAAAGATAAAATTGACCTGGAAAACCAAGGCATATACGAA